TTGGCTGTTCAGGATTAAACGTGATCACAAAGTGCGCAAAGTCTCGTAAAACTTTCTCCCCCGTCCGTTGTTGCCACGTGCCGTACTTTCGATCGTGCCGCATGCCACCGTCTTCCTTTTATTCATCTAATTTACGTACAGAAGACAAGATCATTTCATTAATTAAGATTCCATAATATTGCTCAACGGATTGTTCTGATTACGATTTCCGTTCATACCACGGTTCCGTAAGTATTTGTTTGAATTACGAATGATGATTACTGTATCGTTAGTGAAGTTTGTTACCAGTATATAAACCTATTTGCAAATTTATGAGTATCGACTTGTTTATACGAATAGTGTTTTGTCCAGATTAAGTCTGTTGTTAAAAACTATTTAGATTATAATGTCGTTAATGTAGTGAACATCGAGTAATTTTGTTTTATTGACATGTTTGGACCCGTTATGCGTTTGCGGTTATTACAACCAATCGATTATGTCGGTCGGAGCTACGACACTTAGGCGTCTTAGTATTCCGCCAAACGTTTTATTCTAGTATTCTAGTATACTAGGTGATGTCGAAACAACTATTTCATCACTGTTGCTACACGTTTTATTCCGTATAGGTACACTTTTTCTAAATTTTTTGTGACTTTTTCTATTCGAAAATAATATACCAACTATCTATACAAGTTTACATATTTTCCCTGTGATTATATATGTTTAATTTATTCTTTAAAAATATTATTTTGTTTTGCTTTTCCATGTAACATTATAGAAAAAAAATAATATAATAATATTAGTTATATAAGTTAAACAATTGAACTGTGATCTTTCTTTATGCCATTTAGGCGATCCATATATGATTATTTTACCTTGTCGATTCTCAATAAACATATATGCACGCATTACAATTATGATAGATAACATTAAATCATTGGTATCAAAGTTCTGTATTATTTTATAGATATATGTATACATATATCCGTTTTGGGCATGCGTATAAATAGATACTAATCGGAAAAAAAATTTAAACCAAGAATTTAAAAGTACATTTATCTTATAATTTTCTTAAACCATGTTCTTATAATAATTTGAGTCTTGACCTTTAGTTGAAAGTCGATATTCTAATTTTACTACACTATTTTTTAAATTTATTTCATTGACAGGACGTATGCATATGTTTAATATGTGTATGTGTATATTTTTTCAAATTAACTAGAATGCAGTACAATAATGTTAAATAAAAGTATTGAAAAAATGTACCACGTGCAAAGACAATTTATCTCGATGGGTATGCGAATTCGTTTCTTAAAAAATTGTGGTTAACTTCATAATATTAATAAAAAATAATTACGTTTATTATTCAGCTTCTTGGTGTTCTCATATCTATTTCCATTTATTCTGCATTGTTTGTGCATAATAATATTGTCGTTTTAACATTCATAATAACATCCGCACGTGTCCTATATTCCTGGAACATATACACTTGCTCGACGCGCACGTGTGTCACGAACTCTTGGTCATTTCCCGGTCAACCGTTTTCAATACTACTTGATCGGACGCTGAAAATACTTTTTTATTAGATCGTGTTACTCGAATAAAAATGAGGCGTTTTATATGGGCTACAGAATACTCATATAATATCCTACGAGTTTTTTATTTTATAGGCAATTATATGTGTGCTAAATCACTAAACCAAATGCATTATATAACGTTTGTTCTCCTCTCTGCCGAACCGGTTGGCCACCACTGGTTCTAGAGTAACCGATATTTGTCTAAAATATAACGTCAAACAGAAAAACCAGACCATTATTATACATTTTAATTTTTTTCTCTCCCTTTTATTAAAATACAATAATGTGTTATACGTTTCGAAAAGGAAACATATACATTTATATACCTATGTTCAACCGTATAATATTTATTTAATTTTTTATTTTTTGAGATCATGAAACTTTGGCTAATGTGTCGCAACAGCGTTTTAAACCAACCATTGCCGCACTAAAATCGAATGCTACAACCAATGGCCATCAAATTGCATACACGCGACGCCTTGCAATAACATTATTCATACGATACACGTGATGTTTTATAATATACTCGTACATCATGTTATTATATTATACTGCAGCTCAATTGCAATTGCAATAATAATATTATGATTTTTATTATTCAAATAACAAACTTATGATATGCCGGATAATTGATTAACTCTATTTATTTATTCAATTTGTCTTAGATGTTTGAATGTTTCAGATAATATTGTTGGGGTCATGAGATAATTAATAAATATTAGACTATAATATTTTAATGTGTAAGTATGTGTATATTACCTGTTTCTTTGGTATATAAAATACGTGCTATAATATTTTACAATTTATATGTAATTTATTTATATCTTTTCCGTCAAATAAAATGAACACATGCCGTATTCTGTATTCTGTATAACATTCGTGTAAGTTTATTTAAAATCATTGTTAAATGCATGGTTCGACTTTAATTATTACTTTTCAGCACTTTTAAAATTTCTACAAAATAATTGGATTCCTCGTTATTCTATCAATTTTTCTTAAAATCATCTTTACAAGTATAACCTACGGTTATTGTAATACCATTGTATTTTTATTTTACAGCAGATGTTTCCAAAAATAGTCCTTTTTTCTATACTACGTTTACAACTACGTATGAGCCAACACATCGTTCAAAAAAATTCTACATCATTCTATGTGTATATTTTGATTTTTTTTTATAAAACAAGGTGCCCTTGCGTATGTTATAAAACATGACTAAGACATACGTGTAAACAGTAATTCTTAGTATTATCATTGACGTATGTTTGTATACTTTGCTTGTATCGACGTACATGAAATGGTTCCAGATGTAAGCCATGGCAAATTTGTTCTTTTTTGTATAAATATCTTAAAATTTTAAAATTTTTAAAATATTCTGTACAAAAATAATAGTATTTCATATTTAAATTATAGTTTAATAATAGATGCTATTCTATGAAAAGAATTTGATTAACTTATAACGTTCATTGGTATAAATATTTGATAACGAATTAGTATATGCATTGGTAGTTTATAGCTTTATATATTTGAATTCTTGCTTGCGCTGATCTTGTATTGTAAATAATGCAACTGAAAAGTTATCTAACTTTTATAATTTTTATATTTTTATACTTAAATCGATACTTATTATACATTCTGTTGTAAACGAGCTTTCGTTTTTTGTGTGGTTATGGACATTTTTTTCTTACTTGGTTAGAGTTGTTTTGCGGTTATTAATAACAATAATTGTGTTTCTATGATATTAAATTAATTTTTATAATTTAACTTAGTCAAAGTAATGTTAAGTGATAGTCAAAATTAAAATTGTTGTGTAGGATAAATATTAATATGTGTAGAGTGCATATACATTTAAATTCTTGTTAATGAATAGATAACAATTTTTAATGTTTCGATATTATAAGTAAATATGCTGAGTGTTCATTATGTGATTCTTATTAATCAAATTAATCATGTGACTCTTATTCAGTAAGATGAGAAATTTTTATTTACAGTCAGAAATCTTTCATGTAAATTTAGCTTTATTGATTTATTGACTTTGTGTCGTTTAATGTAGTTTTAGAATAGTTTAAAAGTTCACATTATATTTTTAAGCTATATGTATGTTTACATGATGTGAATTTTAACTAAATAAGTAGAGAGAAGTCAAACTAAAACTTCGGTTTTATTTATTTAATAAATTAAGCATTGTATTTATCAATTTCTGAAATTTGATATTATATTCTAAATCCATTAAGTGTTGAATGCATATTATAACAATACTAATCGCTTAAAACTTTAAGTAATCAAATATTGGATGGTAAAACAATATATATTAATAGTGCAATAATAAACTTAGAAACTGTAATAAATTAGTTATAATCGACATGTCAAGGTTCAAGCATTTAATAATAATTATAATATAACCACGTATCTGATAAATTAGTTCTTTTTTAATCGATCATTTTTTTGTGCAAAATTACGGTCAAATTAGTAGAATATATCTTATTTTGCTGTATTATAAATTTGTATAGTTAAAAAAACAAATTATACAGAAATTAAAAACAAAAAAAAATAGTGAATAACTGCAAAATAGATTGCATAGATTATCATTAAGATTTATTGAATTGCATAAGAATTGGAATAAACTAAAATAAATATTTCATTGAAAACCCTTATGGACAAATATAATTTAGTATATATAACTAGGAGTCATAAACATATGGAATGTTCTAATAAACGTGTTGATATCATAACTCTCAATCCATCAAAGTTTATTTACCGGGTTGGCTTGTTGTACATACTACAACTACATACACGATAATATACGGGCGTATTGACCTAATATTATAAAACTGTAATTGGCTATCACATCATATTTCCATATATTCAGAGATAATTTATTTTTTATTTATATTATCCATCATAAATTATTATTAGGCAAAATCACATATTTTTTCATAAGCTTGATGTTTGATAATGCACGCCTATTTATACATTTAATACGTTTGTTTTTCAAACCTCAAATACGATATGTATACGTTTGTCTGTTTATTGATTTCGATCAAACAACTGACCGGTACCAGCTGTTGGTCATATTCTTCATTATTGCATATTATAGTGTATAATTTGCTACAGAATGAATATAATTCTCTTGCACACCCACACCCATACAGACACACAGACATACACACACGCACGTACGCACGCACGCACACACGCACGTACACACACACGCACGCACATGTATACTCACATACATATGACGTTTATATTGATAATTATAATTATATTTAAATACTGGTCATGTATAGAATGCTATAATGGTTTAATGATAACGGTTGGAACATGATATAATAGTTAGTGGTGACTGTTGGGAAGCCATTTCTAGACTTCCTCCCCCCCTGTAAACACTCCCCTTGCATCATGTGCCAAAACGTTCGTTAATAAAATCTTATAACTATTTTACAGAAGGATCTCAGCAGCCGAATGGCCCTAACGCTAGTCAGCTTGTTGGAATTCTTCTCGGCACTCGTTTTGATCGTGTCCACATCGAGCAATTCGCTACTATTGCTAGTGTTCTATCGTAGACCAGGTCTGCGTACCCTATCAAACAGGTGAGTGTTTAAGTTACGTCACTATAATATATTTATACTAAAATTCAGCAACATTTTTTTTTTTTATTACCGATAAGTTTATTTTTTCAAATCGCTTACTACTGAAGGTTTTTTTTTCGCTATAAGAGTTTGCAGCACAGTTTCAATCTTCTCAAACGTATTTTAGTTCTCTATAGGTATTGAAAGTTTTCAAGTCTAAAATGTATAAAATCTGTGTCTATACTCGTCGAGGTACCCATAATACGAGAATACGAGAACGTTTTTTAAGTTTTTATAATCGTTTATTAATCGTTATAAACCATTAACAATGATATTTATTATTTTTAATATTAATAGAATTCATTTAAAGAACATAAGTTAGTTGCATATTTTTTTATTTAAAAATGGGTTATAATTATAAACTAAAAATACTGATCGCATTTAAAAGTAGATCCGTACTATGTATGTTTCGCGTTTGTCGTTTTGTACGGTTTTTAGTTTACTGTTTTTTAGTACGTTTAGTTCATTTGAACATACATAGATTGTTCATTCTTTTTTATTTAAATGAAAATGAATAGTGATAGCGTAGATGAATTATCAATTGCCAGTGCAATTTATATTGTATTGGCTTGAAAAAAAAACAAAAACACAAAGATGGTGGACTATAACATTATTTAAAAGTAGAAAACTGTATAGATAACTGTATATATCAGTGGCGGATTTAAAGGTTCAAATTAGGTCCTAAAGAGTCTTTAATCTTTAATTTAAGTCTTAAATCCAAAAGAGGGGTTTCATAATAAATGTATCACTACAATTCTTAGGCCCATTTACAAAGCTGCTCCCTACACTCGCGTTTCCGCAATATGAAAATGGAAAATAGTACATTAGAAATAACGTGATGCAGCGAAGCCGATAATAAATCATTGTTCATATACTCGTATAGTGTTCATACTCGGAAATTATATAGAATTCTATAAGCAACAGTATTTCTAATTATATCTATATTCGATTTTTTCTACTTTGTTCGTAAATAAAATGTTCTATTTTAGAATTATTCGGAGTGTTCCTGAGTATTTCCTGTATATTTAAATTATTTTGTTATAAATAAAAATGGTAATTGTAAACGATATTATAGTTTGTACTATATTTTTTTTTGTGGTTAAATTTTAAAAAAATTAACTATAATTTTTCTGGACCTTGGTAAAAAATTTAGGAAGGGATTCGCCGACCAAACAACCGTTAAATCCGCCACTTGTATATATGAATAATATTTATTTTAATATTCTAAATTATATTATGACATTGTACTTTTATCTATATTTAACATATAATTTAATTTATAACCTAGTGATATAAACTTTCTGTTTACGAACACATGCAATGCGAAATAACTGGGAAATAGTTTTCACGAAAAAGCTTTACATACTATTTACAATATTTACGAAATTAAACAAAAACGTGAAATGTGAAACATTCATAATGTGGAGCGACCTTTACGAATGAAAACATACTGTCTCAATGAAGTTAATTACCTACGTTTAATATTTAAATACGAATATGTGTAATTATATGGTTATTCAGTTCATGATCAAAATTGAATTAGTTATTTTTTCGTAACCTTAATATTATTAACATTTATACTTTATTTTTTATTTTTAGCGATTTTGTAATGAATACGAGTTACATAGAATTATTTCTTTGACTTTTTCGGTTAAAACCAAAATTATAATTTCATGTACATTGCATATGCTATATTATATCGTGTAATAAATAAAAATACTGTGGCTGGATTAATGCCAAAAATGTAGTCTGTAGATAATTTATTAAACACGTGAAAAAACCAAGAAATATGCTAAATAAATGTTTTATACGCGTAAATGTACTTACACACAATGATCTACATCGACTGTTTATGAGTCAGAAATTATTGTAGAGTAATACTTTATAATACTATTATTTTAGATACTATTTAATTATTAGTAAATCACTTGGGGCGTGTATTATATAAATCCATGGCCGTAGCAAGGAGTGGGCGAGAGGTGCCTACGTCTTGGACGCAATTCCTAAGAGGGCGTAAAAATGAAAAAAATGTATTTTTTGTTAAATCTTACAACAAGCAATGTTGTATATTTTATTTACAACTATTTCAATGTCCATTATATTAATTTAAGCAATTGTTAAAAATAATATATAATAATTAAAATATTTTTCAATTAAAAATACATAAGAGCGCATTTTAAAATATCATCCCGTGCGCAATATTTAGTTGTTACAGTACTGTATAGTAAAAATAAACTCTTTGAGTTTGTATTCGTGTGTGTGTTGTAATTTATTCGAACCCTTAATTTGTTAGTTATGATATAGATAAACAATTATCGATGCAAAATCCCAAGGTAATATGAGCTGTTTGGTTTTCATATTTTTTAAGAGGTTTATCGTCTACCAAGGACAATATATAATAAATAATTACATATTTTTTCCATGGTATAAAAGAAAACATACGGCACTTAAAAAGCACTTCACGGACAGGGTCAAAACAGATAAAATTGCAAAGATGTTATTAATATTAATTTACTTTTTAAGGTTTTGTTTATAAAGGGACAGTTTTAATTCTTCAACCTGTCGTATACAGTTTTTGTATAAATTAAATTAAAGTTTTTAGTCTATTGGTATACTCGTATTGCAAACGTTTTATCTTCCACTAACACGTTTTTTTAATAATCTGTATAGACGTTTCATTATAGGAAATAAAATATGATATTATAATAAAAGTAGGGTATAATTATTTATTTTTGTCCAGTATATAAAGGACTGCAAGTATAGTTCAAATATTTAGGTTATAATGTGTTTTAAGTCTGAAATAAGAAGCATTCGTTTCTTTATTTACGCTTAGTGGAAATTGGTTTTTTAGTATCCATTTTACATATAAGTTTTTTTTTTATAATACTAAATTTGCATTTTACTAAATTGATAAAAACTGACGGAATGGATATCATAGTATTTGATAGTTATTATGGCAATCAATGTTAATATTTATTTTGGCAGAATGTCAGAGAAATATATATATATTGAAAAGACCTTTGAGTCGTAGATTTTGCTTACTAGTATTTATGAAACTCAAAATAACTTCTGCTAATACAAGTATTAACTTTGTTATTCCCACGAATAAGATTCATTTTAGAGTGTATAAAATCTTTACTATTTGAAAGGATCGATGTATTCAAATTTGTGTAGAATTTGTGTAGGGTTATAATGAACTGATTTTTTGATATCAATGACATTTTGTAACTATACGATACAATTAAGAAAAATATAAAATATGAAAATCATTTTAAATATTTTCTTTCGTTTAAAGTAAATTTAAACTAGAGTAAAAAATAAATCTCAAAATAATTTTAAGACGTAAGTAAGAAACTAACATTTCTAATTATTGGCTTTTAGCAAGTATTTTATACTTGTAATTTAATAGAAAATATTAACGAGCTAAGTGGATCTATTATTTTGGTGCCAGTTATAATGATTGGTGGTTCTGACCTGAAACTATCAACATCTTTACTTATATAATAACATATAAACTATACTACTAAATTATAACTACGTATACATTTTTTGGCCACGTAACAATCTGTTTTTAAATATATTCTTCTTTTGAAATTCCGGTTTTTGTTTAGACTTCGAAGTACCTATAGTTCTAATAATCTGCAATAAAATTTTATTGGCGTTAACAAAACTGTATATTTACAAAATAATTGTAATTAATATTAATTATTTATGATTGAATCCATTTAGCATCTGGTATTTGATTACCGTATATATTTTTTTGTACAGTAGACAATATTACATTTTCAGTGGGGCTCCGTGATCAGAAAACCTGAAATCGGAACTTGTATTAATGTATTTTGTAATAACACAATTTGAGTTTATTATTGTATTTCTTTGTATTCATTGGTACATAACATAAATGTTAACATAAGTAGTCTGGTGAAAAATGATTGAACATATAATTTTTTAGCAATACAATTTAACATAGAATATTTAATATGACATTGCCATATTCACGTTCTCAAAATTTTGAAACTTATATTCTTCATGTATTATTACATCAATTATTAAGATACTAAATTTAAACGAGCCACAAATTGAGGACCGAGCAAAGCTTTATCGGAAACGTTATCGATTAATTTAATGTGATAAATATTAGTTTTATCCGTGATATACCAACATTTTAAGTATTAGCATTGGGAGAACATAATATTATACTATAAGATAATTACGATAGTTATGATTCCAAAATTATTAATTATTGTTATTAATTATTAATCCTGGGGTTCCGCAAAAATTTTAAGAAAATTACTCTTAAAATAATAATAATTGTATACATATATATTATAATACTTTAATAATAATTACATTAATTAGACTAAATACAAATTTAGACTATTCCATATGGCTTATACATTATTATTATAAGTCATATGTCCCACGTCTAGAAAGGCTACGATGATAGAATTAAGTCCGGAGCTACCTTTATCGATCTCTCGGCAGCTTGCGACATGGTGTGGAAAGACGGTCTACTATGGAAACTATCAAACATTATATGATGCCCACGATCGATACAATACATTAGAGCCAGCCTTGGAAATAGGAATTTCTAAGTTTATCTCAGCAATCGGAAAAGCAAAACACGAATACTAAACAACGGCTTACCCCAAGTCATTGTCTTAGCTCCAAACCTTTTTAATGTATATACCCACGACATACAATGTACATAATCAAACATTTTCTCTTATGCAGACGACATCTGTATAGTAGCACAGGACAAGAAACTAGAAAATATCGAGAGAACCCTGACATCAGACCAATTAAGGCTAGAACAATTTTTCCAGAAATGGAGGCTTAGACCGAACCCATCCAAAATCATGACAACAATATTTCATCTAAATAACAGGGAAGCCAGCAAGGAAATATCAGTCTATTTTTGCGGTAAAAAAATCAAAAATGAAAAGACACCCGTATACCTTAGCAACACACTAGACCGGATGCTAACTTTTAAGACACATCTGCACAAGGTGTCAGCAAAACTGAAAACTAGAATTGACCTAATCAACAAATTAGCTGGCACCATCTGGGGAGCTGCTACAAACGTCCTCCAGACTTCCTTCTTAGTCTTGGTATACTTGGTCGCAAAATACTGCGCCCCAGTTTAGGCAGAAAGTGCCCACACAGAGGTAGTAGATATCCAACTAAGGAAGGCTATTCGCAAAATATCAGGCACAGTTTTGAGCATAAACAGACAATAGCTACTCTATCTGGCCAACATAGAGCCCCCCACATAAGGAGACGAAACAGCGTGCTCAAAGAAAAAGACAAAATTGACAGACATACCAGGAGTTGCCAACACTTAAAGACGGAATTATTAACCCGAAGCTTAAATCACGAAAACCGTTTTTGTTAAGAGCTCAAATCATCACTGAGTCGAGGGTTAATACTTCAGATGAGTGGTAAGTTGAATGGCTGTGAGAGAGACCCGGAGGCATCCAAGTAGATAACATACGCACTCCAGTCTTAGGGATGGACCTCCCCAGAAAAATTTGGGTTAGACTCAACAGAATACGCACATGGCAACAAACTTATGTACAAATGGAAGTTCAGAGAGAGTCCGGGATGCGACTTTGTTGCAAATATACAATCAATGCAGCACCTAATCCTGGATTGCCTACTCGAGAAGCTTCGATGGTGATCTGGAGGATTTCATCAAAGTGACCTCTGAGGCAGTGACCTAGTTAGAGGCCTTGAATGTAGACATCTACACTTAAATTTTGATACTTTATGTGATATTTGTTATATTTTGCTTGCTATAGTACCTTAGAATGTTCATGAATATTAGTTATACATTTATAATAGTAATAGTTTAATTTAACCTTAATAGGTAAAATTTTTGTTAGTGCGCTCATTATTAAGTCATATGAATAAATATTTATATTTTTTTAATATGGAATTTTGTCGGAAAAAGACAAGAATTGGCTCTAGTAAATTTTTACAAACATAAATTAATTAGTGAACGAAAAACAGATAATCTTTTGAGATGAAGTTGTATCAATAATAAATGTTCAGCAATAATTTTTTCAAGGTTAGATAAACGTTATGTAATTTAAACTTCTAGATAACACAATTACATTCAAAATTCAACTGAGAAAATAGAAACACAAATTTTGAGAGAAAATTAGTATTAATATAGTTCAAAATTGAAATAGGCTACATCGTAGAGTTTTTTATGCTCAATCGTGTAGGTTTTTTTTTGTATTCTTATATCCTTTGATACGCCGATAAATTTGTTCAATCATATTACAGCCAATTAGTTAAGTAAAATTACTTTTTTTCTGTTGATTGACAAGGTAAATTAGAAAAAGATTGATTAAATTGATCATGCCTCCGACGCTTTCTTAACTGTGACAAATTTTTAGAATATCAAAGTTCAATGGAATTGTTAAATTAAGGATGTATTATATTGCGTTTTATACATTTTCAGCCTTGTGTATTAATCGTAAGAAAACGGTTTGAACATATTTTATTCGGAGTGTTTATCTGTATTTATTTGTGTATGTTTTGCTAATAATGTAAATGTAGGATTGATGATATTTAGATTAAAAATACCAGTGATTTATCTATTTTTGATCTTTTTACAAACAAAAAAATGCCTTAACACTCTTTACATTAATAGTATATGCATTTGATAATATTCAATAGATGTTTATAATTTTCTCTTTGATACTGTATATAATATGCGTATTTTACACAGTAAAATATTTTATTACCGTCGCAGTTAGTGATATTTCATATATTCTGAGTGATAATTCATAATTAAAAAACGATTCACTTGAGCCGTTGTTACATTTTCCCTGGAAGAACAATAATTTTTTGTTTTGTGTTTATCATTGTGTTTAGTTTTGATTTGAGTTTTGATTACGAGTTGTACCATGTGATATAATTTGTACTTTTTCACGAGAACTATTTGTTTTATTTATATTTTCATTACTATCTACTATATGCAGCGAAAAACATTGCATTGTGCCGAGATTTCACGTTTTATTTTTAGCCATTTTTACTTGATACATTTCTCGTGTGCAGTGTTCAATTATTTTTAATTGCGTGGTGCACTAGAGACGTACATAATAGTTCATCCGCAGACACTTATATGGGATTATTACGAGGTTTTCAACTGTATGATGTAATGATGTACGTCAATCATATAACAATGATATGGTCTGCGTTCCCGTTATTAATATTATTATAATGATGTAAAGTTGTCATTTTTCGAGGGTCAAGACGTTATGTGTCGCAAAAAATACCCGAATGCTTACTTTGGTACAGTGTATAATAATAATAAATATAATAATAAACTATAGACGGAATTATTTCGGGAGGCGATATTTTTTTTGCATCTGGTTTTAAAATTTAAAATATACACATACGCGGAGAGTAAAATATTAATATGTATCGTAGTTATTCGTTACTACCCGAGTTATATAATATTTTTCCAATAACAGTTGTCAGTCTCCATTTGGTATACATAATATACATTTTAATATTTTACGAAGGCGTGGTGTAACGTCGCGTTGTACGTGGGCTACGTTTGCACGGGTTATTATAAGAATAAAACCAATATCGTTATTTTTTTCCTTCGCAGTGAGACGGGGCAAATTCTCGTTGAAAAATACACTACTATTATGTACTATTGTTTATCATTGCGTTATAATTATTTCCTTGTACTAATTATTTATGTTGGCTGTTGTGTCCACAGATTTGTTATGAACTTGTTGGTTACGAATTTGGCGAGCAGTTGGATTCTCGTGCCTCTGACGTTATGGGATAGCGATCTGCTCAGCGGCTGGGTGTCACCAATGCCTGCGGCCGTTTGGTATGGGCTTACTGGCGCCGTGTACGCGCAATCCGTGTTGTCGGTCATGACGGTGGCCGTAGACCAATACTACGCAGTCATTGATCCGCTGCGGTACCACGTGACAGTGAACGCGGCCAGTTTTGCAGCGACCGTGGCCATCACCTGGTGCCTGTCCATGCTAGCCGGCGCCCTATCCGCGGTTCGCGAATTGCCTGTCGCACCCGACGTGTTTCGACACGCGTTCCCCGTGACATACACCGCGCTCCTGTACGCCGTGCCATTCGTTACCGTGTGCGTAGTGTACGTGAAGATTTGCACCGCGGCGCACCGGAACAGCGAACGGGCCCGTCGCAACGGATCCGTGCCCGATCAACTCCAGCAGCAGCAACAGCCACTCCAACAGCAGCAGCCACCGCAGTCGCAGCAGCAGCAGCAGCAGCACCAGCAGTCGTTCCAGCAACAGCAACAACCGCTCCAACAGCAACAACTGCACCAGCAGCAGCAACAACAACTGTTGTACAACAATAACAACAACAGCACGAGCAACAATAACATAAATAACATTATCAATAACGAATACAATACTATAGTTCCTACCATACACGAAGAGGAAGACGAAACCTTGGAGGCCGTCTCCCTACAAGCGGCTGTCACATACGAACCGGAGACGCCGTTCAAACCACTTCCGTTCCAACACTCGTCCGCTCGAGCTAGTCTCAAGAGCACCTCTAGTTCCATTGTAAACCACCTGAGGTATGCACTATATATTTTATACGTCGTTCATCTCACTCTTGCATATATTACATTTAAATACGCTGTTATTTTCGAGCTGTGATTGCGTAATGAAATCATAATCAAGTTTAGGTCGCCATCATTTTCGTTAGCAAAAAGTGATTATTTTTAATACACAGGATGATGTTATTGAAGTTTTCAGTGGCCATATCTGTGCAAAGTTTTTGTGAAATATAAGGGGAGCATAGGTATTTGGTAGCTAATCGACATGTGAAAATTTACTCAGTAATATTATTTTCGTTATAGCGTTTTTTTGAAGAATACTAACCTAACCTCCCCTCTCTTTAATATATTCCGCACATGACCGTTTCTGCTATCGTTCATAATTATCTGATCCCTACTTTGAACTCATTTAGCCTATACTTACATTATTTTTCTGTCAATGTATGATCTGTATGACCTAATCGTTCGTTTGGTATGCTCGTACCCACCCTAGCGTGTATCATATCTTTTAAATAAAAATATTTCGTAAATAATATAATCTCGCTTCAAATACCTCTTTTGTTATATGGTTTAATTGTTTTAATATTTTCATAGGTTTAAAAATAAAAAATAAACGTAAATACAAATATACAAGAAATATTTCATGGAAATATTATCATGGCTTATTATTATAGTCAGTGATATAATTAATGGCGTTTTGATACTTAAACTTAGTCTTTGTAGCTCCAATGTTTGGGCAGTGGCGTACTTGTAAGGGGGGAAGGGGCATTTGCCCCCCCTCCCCCGATAAGTTTTTTGATGCTATAATGCAAATTAATTGTTCAGCTTAAATAATGTAAATTATAAATATTTTTAATTTTCACCGATTACAATCGTGTTTGATATCAAAAGTTTTTGATATCACTTATCAATGTAATATAAAATATCAATAATCGACCGAATTAGGATTAGGAGTGATGGTCACATATAGCCACTATTTTATAATGTGGTTATCATTGATATCAAGTGATCAACACGAGTTTTAAGTATTTAGTAATAATTTATAATAAAGTTTCAGATTATATTATAACTATAAAAAATTGTGCAATTAATTTATGCCCCCCCCCCAAAAAAAAAATGTTTCTCAGGTACGCCATTGTGTTTGAGAGCCTATGTAATTGATTACGTTTATAGCATGTAACTAACTTTCAAAGCCTTATTTCTAAAAGTTCTACGTATGTTACTGTTTTGTGTGTATACAAAACACGAGAACCAAATATACATTCGAACGTAAGTTGTCTATTATAATACACTTAGAACATTTCGTAACGGTTATGACTAGTGTTTGTAGAGAGTTTACAATTTTAACGATAGCATCAACGGGCACGTTATTTGTGCCCGAAAATATGAGACAACAATATACCATTATACTATATTCGTCTCCATGTATTACTATCGTATAACATGTAACAATTTTCCTTTAAAATTTTAATCGGACAGATTTGTCAATGCATTTACGTCTCCGTTGCGTTGTTGAGCAAAATAACGCGATGAATATACAATTCAAGTAGTTCACGTTGATAATAAACACTCTATATTTCTAAATAGGAAAAATATTTATATTATTTAAATTGTTTCGGTTTCTTTCATGGTAAAAAAACAACATTTATAATACTCAAATCAAAATGTAATAAACTATCAATATGCTATACGATTTAAAAACTCAACGGATAGTAATGGAATAACATTTGTTTGTTTTTATAAAAACTTATCAATTTAATGAAGAAAAAAAATTCAAGATTTCAGTAATAGATTTTAATTAATTTACGATAATTAATTATATAAATTTGAAAGTTATATAGTATATCAATATATAATGTTTGTACATTTGTATATTATAAATCAACGGAGAGGTATTATGGTGCTTGTAATTATTTAATTCTTTAATTGATTGCAAAAAGCGTATGTACATTATTTAGGGGTGATTATATATTTAGAATATTAAAATTGAAGAAAAATACAATTACAATCATAATAATTAGTAAGTAAATAAATATACATAATATTTCGTATGGGGCTACCTAATTATACCTATGGAAATGTATAAATTATACTGATACAAGATTGTTGTTAGATTAAATACTGTTTACATGTTAACACGTGACACACCAAACATTTATTTTAATCAATGGTTTATTCGATTGATATCGAGTATTAAAAAATAAATTTCAATAAGCTACTAATTACCTATTATATTAACAACATTACTCATTATTATTATCACTATCGTTTTATGCAAAACATCAAGAAATCGTCATTGCGTAACCATTGCAATATCTCCTGAAATAATAGAAGTAATCAAATTCTGATTTTTTCCTATGACTTAGATGGATAACTACAAATATTCATATTATATTAATTACATTTATAAATGATAGTATAGGTTTAAAAACCAACTTTTTATTTTATTATTTTCAAAACATTTGAAGATAGCCATTTTACAGAGTTTATTATTTTGAAAATGTTGACGTTTAAACTTTTTATCCTTATTAATGTCATGATTTTGAATATTTTTTGTTTTAGTTTTTAGAAAAAAAAAGTATGTTATTTAATATCATTTTATGGGTTTGAAATTATCAGAAAATGAAATAAAGTGATATTAAAACATTATTATATTTAATACAATATTTTTCTTTTAGTTCAAAAGATTATTCAGATTTTCTACAAAAGTATAGAATTTATCTCTATAAATTATAAGAAAGAGTTTGATTATTTTTATTAATTCTGGAGATTTGCTGTGCATACTTTCGTAAAATACGTTGTAAATATCATATGTAACACAAGTTTTATTTCGATGCCACATGTTAGTAGTTAATTAAGCTCGGTCGTTGTTGTAGTACTGCAAGAAGTTTGTGTGTGTGTGTATGTGTACATAATTGAACTTGATAGTTTTGTGTTGTATAGACACTTTGATCAAACTCGACTGCTTTACAATAATTATTAATAATATATGTATATCATAACCATAATAATCTGTAACATTACTAAACACAATAAAATGTTACTATATTGTATTTAAACTCAACCACGATGGATGTATGTGTAAGTATAATATAATATTTTTTAATTTTAATTTGCTCATTTAAATTGGTGGTGGCTGAAGTGGTCCGTCTGATTACTCACATATAATATCTGATACGTGGTAACGTGGAAACGCGTCTAATGTATGCCTTTGCATGATAACCAGGACTCGGAACTTTATGCATTTGCATCTTTCTCAGGAAGCTGCATATTTCAAATCTGATTCGATACAAATTTGTTTCATGAACCATACAGTTGAAATACAAAAGTTGATGTTGCATATTTTTGCATATTTTACCAAATTTATATGATTATGCATATTTAAAGATTTTGAATATATAAATGCATTTTATGGTAAAAATTTATAAGAAATCAACAACAAACAATTTTTTGATAATTGAATATTGTAAATTAAATAATTTAAAAATAAATAGCCGCTGCATACGGTTTTCTAGTCTATATTTGCCATGCTATCTCTACCATGCTCGCCCGCATGGTTTATAGTGTTTTTACTAAGAAATAAGAATTGGCCGTTACTCTTAAGGTGGGAACAGACTATTGTCACGTCACATGAGCCCATGTGACGTTACATGTTATTACGTAACCGAAAAAAATTGAGGGATATAGATTTATACAGTATTTTAATGTATCAGCGCCACACTAATGTCACCTCATGCGCGTCACGTCATATTTCCTAGCTCACGCGTGATACCGCGTTTTGATTTTCAAACATCACACACATTTTCGACTCAAGTGTCATCACGATTTTGGTCTATTTAGAAAAATATATATTTTTAATAATGTCGTGTAAATAATCAAATTTTTCTATCGTCATTCAGAAATACATATGAAATCGTTTTGGATCGTTTCAAAGTTCTTGAACTAGACGATAGAGTTTTTCCAATGTTGATCTTTTTTTATAAATATCATGTACCCAGCACGATCGGATGGATTTTTTATTTTGTTCGTCCAAAACTGCAAAAACAGCTGGAGTTTCTAATTCCTCTTTCCACTCTGAACTACTTGAAGTTACTATTTCCATTTTAATTTTACTTAAGAAAAAAAAACTTGTGTAACAGACCTTAAGTTCAAACCTTACACCAAAACACAGTGACTAAGTACTAAATTGTGACATGATAAAGTATGACATGATATAATGTGACTATAGTTTATTTCTAAGCATGATATTACGGATTTAATGTGCCAACATGACAGCATGCAGGGGTGGATCGACAATTATTTTCGGCCCAGGAAATATGAAACAAACCGACCCATGAACCACAAATTAAACTATTTTACCCCTCCCCCCTCATAAAAAAATGCTTTATTTTGCATCAATTTCAAAATTTGTTTAGTTTCACCCCTAAATTAGTAAAATCTACAGTAACTTTACTATAATTATAGCTATAATAGTTTTGGATAAGTCACATGATTAATCAGTTCCAACTTGAACTTGAAGTTTGATCTAAATGCATCTTTCAATATATATTTATTTTTATTTATTTTATAAAATAAAACTTTTTTTTCGGTAATTATATAATAATATAGAGCGGCCCAAACAAGGACCGGCCCATCGGTAAGATTCCCAATTTCCCGATAGGTCAATCCGCCCCTGACAGCACGTGAGTTCACGTGACGTGACAATAGTCTGTTCCCACCTTTACCGTAATGACCGCCCAGGTTTTATTTATATTGAAGTCGCTCGTTAGATAAAATCGTTGTATATTCGTGGTGTGTGTTAGTATGTGTTTGATCGTGTGTCGAAAACATATTCGATAACGGTGGTCTGTTACTTTAATAAATTAGTGTGTTCGTAGTTCGTATTGTTTGCTTACCGTGCTCGATTACCGCTTATGTGCCACGTAATATTCTGATTTTAATATTTGTTAGACAAAAATTAAAATGCCTAAAAAAAAAAATTAAGTAGTCGTTTAAATACTTTCGTGTCTGAGTTCGGT